ATAAGAAGATTGGTTGCAAGCCAATATATTTCGCACCACATGCACAGTTAGAGGAAAGGATTGTACCATGGTGATTGATAGTGGCAGTTGCGAAAATGTTGTGTCAAAGGTGGCCTAGACAAAGCTGTGTTTCAGTGTGAAAGATGATCCACATCCTTACAAATTGCCTTGGTTCAGGAAGGGCAATGAGTTAAAAGTCTCTAAACGTTGCCTTGTTTCTTTTTCCAGTTGGACAGTGCTATAATGATAATGTGTGGTGCGATGTGGTGACAATGGATGCGTCATATCTTGCTGGGGAGACCTTGGCAGCATGATAGACATGCCATACATGATGGGTGCAAGAATACTTATATGTTTTGGAAGGATAATCTGAAAACTATTCTAGCCCCTCAAAGGAGATAGGACCTAAACCTAAACACAAGTAGCTTTCGCCAGATTTATAGAGGAAATGAAGGAATCTTGGGTTGTGTTTGCACTTGTGGGGAAGGAGGAGCCAGTGAGTAATTATGTCCTTGAAGTGGTTCGACCACTTTTGAACGAGTTTTGTGATGTTTTCTCTGAGGAGCTACCCCCAGGATTGCCCCCCATCCGTGATATGCAGCACCACATTCTGCCAAGTGCTAGCTTCCCTAACAAGCCACACTATTGGTTAAGCCTACAAGAGCGTGCACAGCATTGCACATAGGTAGAAGAGTCATTGACCAGGGGTTATATCAGGGAAAGCATGAGCCCTTGTGCTATCCCAACGCTACTTAATCCTAAAAAAGACAGCAGCTAGAGGATGTGTGCAGCCAGCAAGGCCATAAGCAAAATTACAGTGAAATACAGGTTTCCCATACCCCGCAGTGATGATATGTTGGACAAGCTTGCTGGTGCTCAAGTGTTCTCAAAGACAAACTTAAAAAGTGGCTGTCTTCAAATTCAGATCAGACCCAGAGATGAGTTGAAGACAGCTTTAAAGACTCGAGAAGGCATGTACAATTGGATGGTCGTGCCTTTTGGGTTATCTAATGCCCCGAGCACATTCATGCAAGTCATGAGTCATGTGCTCAAGGCTCAAGCCGTTTATTGGTAGATTTTTTGTAGTGTATTTTGATAGTATTTTAATTGATAACACATCTAAATATTTGCACTTGCAGCATTTGCTGCGAGAATTTGCTTAGTTTGCACAAGGAGAAATTATATGCCAACATGAAGAAGTGCATTTTGATGGCTGACCGCGTCGTTTTCCTAGGTTACGAAGTTTCTGGAGAAGGTGTTAAAGCTGAAGAATCCAAGGTCCAAGCGATTGTAGATTGACTGGTGCCGAAGTCAATCCATAATGTGCGTAGTTTCCATGGTTTAGCTTCATTCTATTGGCACTTCATACATCATTTCAGTACTATTATGGTACCTCTCACCGATTGGATGAAGAAGAAAGCCTTTCAATGGACACTACAAGCAGAAAAAAGCTTCACTGGATCAAGTTGAGGCTATCGGCAGCAGTCTTAGTGCTTCCAGACTTTGATGAAGTCTTCAAAGTAGATTGTGATGCTTTTAAGGTCGGTATTGGTGCAATGTCAAGTCAAGATGGCAGGCCCAAAGCTTATTTTAATGAGAAATTGAATGGCACCAAGCTGAGGTATGCTACTTATGATGCCGAGTTCCATACTATTGAACAAACTTTATGCCATTGGAGACACTACTTGATCCAGAGGGAATTCATTCTCTATTATCATCATGAGGCATTAAAGCACATTAATAGCCAGTATAAGTTGAATCATCAACATGCCAAGTGGGTGGCCTACCTCCATGAGTTCATTTTACCGTGAAGCATAAATCTGGCGCACAAAATAAGGTGGCAATTGCCCTTGTTCTCTAAAACTCCTTGCACTCGAATTTTACTTCCTCCCTAACCATGCCCTTTCTTTCTCTAACTCCTCCCTCTAATTGTGCCCTCTCTCTAATTGTGCCCTCTCTCTCAAACTCCTTTTACTCACTAACTCAACGCTCCCTAATCTACCCTTTCTCTCTCTAACTCCCTCCTCTCTCTAACAATTCTCTTTCTCTCTCGAACTCCTTCATCTCTCTATCTGTGCCCTTTCTCTCTCTAACAGTGCACGTTCTCTCTCTAACTTCTCTCTCCCTCTAACTCAAAATGAACTTGGATTTGCAAATCCTTGATCTGCAATTACTTATTCTTTTTTCTGGATTTAAAAATCTGGGAAGTGGGACCAAATGTGGAGATGCATTTTCGGAATTCGTCTCAGATTGGGTGCGGGTGCCAAACCCGTTCCATCGCCTCAAATCCAGGATTGTGAAACCTAGACTGAGATTTCCAAGGATCCATGCCTTTAGTGCGTAGACTCCTTAAAGCACTTTATAGACTCAAGCACTCCAGTGGTTGCTTTGATAAGGTTAGCGATTTGTTCTCTAGTCCAGTTTAGTAAGAAGTGCTTTTGACTGATCCAAGATTATTAGAACTTCTAACACAGTCAAGCATTCCACCTGAATGATAATGACAATCATTTCTAGATTGTTGCAATCAAGATCACATTGCAAAACATGTTTGAAATTGAAAGGTTGGAACCCCCTGGCAGTGGCCAGAGTTGGTGACTACATTCTTGAGCCGGTGTTCCTCTGGGTTGGTACTTAGAAGGGGATTTACTCAAGAAATGTGGGCTGTGGCACTCTTTGGGTCATCAAGAAAGAGATGGTATAACAATGAAAAAAGTACAGATAGATATACAAATTCTGATGACATGCAAAGTTGCATACACTGTGTACAGTTAGCACATGACGACAAGAGACGATCAAATTCAAGTGAATATCTCATGAGTAACGATATCATGGGACAAGTGATGACAAGAGAGAACATCACATCTGAATGAACATCTCATGAGTAGCAATATCATGGAAAACAATCCTCAAACACCATAGGCTCCAATTTGCTGATGAGGATCATGGAGAGAGAGAAGGACCAGTCATAACCTCCAACACCCATATGTTCACTTGAAGTGCCAATGTCCCTCTCTTGGATTACAGTAAATGTATGCCAACACATCACAAAAAAGAATTCCAGGACTGCAGAACTCATTTATTAAGGCAACCTGATTTCAAATAGTTTTGGTACAGAAACTGAAAAAGACTCCAACTAAACTGCACTCCTTGATTTCATGCAGGAACACTATATAGATTCAATGATGTATAATTCCCACTTCCATAACAATTGAATATTTCAACAAGTTAGCAGACTTTGCAGCACCTCTAACAAGGGAAATTTTGAACTGAATTTGAAGTCAAACTACAATATACAACATCTTTTAGTTATTTCATAAAATATGAAGAACAGACAACAAATGGCAAACATTTTGTCATATGAACCCATAGTGCATTTGTTTCGGAGCGCAAGCACTCCCGTTATGTAGGGACTTGGGTGATTCTTGCTGCTTGAAATAGTATATGGAAAAATCGGTATGAAATTTATTGGTGATCAAAGGATTTAAATTGTGCAAGGATATCCTGTTATATAGGCACTTCTGAAACCACTATATAATTTATGTTGGATAGCAAAAACAATGGCATGAAATCTATAATGGTTGATGATTGAAATTTTTTATATTTTATGCAGATTTTCCTTTATATATGAGCTGTGACAATTCTTGCTGCTTAATTAGCATATGGAAAATTTTGGATATACATGTCCACAATTTTGCATGAAATCTCCTGGTGCTATCGATTTAAAATGCACTAGGATACCAAAAAGCCAATACGAGAATACCACAAGTGGCTCCTAAAGTTCTGTAATATGGTGTCTAAAGCGTAACAGGCATCAGTAGTAAAATAAATTATGGATTTGACTAATGGAAGTTCCCAAACTCAATGTTTCAATAACGAGTTAACCAAATGAAGACCTACATTAGGTTTACGGACCTGTGATTTTTTTGTCCTGCAGTTGAAAAACTTGATCACTGAAGGAGATGATTGAAACAATAATAAATATAACCAAACTCCACTACATAGAGCAGAATAATTCTACGAGTCAACTCCACCAGTTAGATGGAGCATAATTGCAAACATAACTCCACTAGTCCGATGCAACAATAAGATGGTTAAACCCCTTCAAGTAGAAGCCATTTTCAAACTTTGTGTTATCATTTTCACATTTACTTGGATAATTCTTGCTGCTTATACCGGTATATGACGACATGGATAATTCTTGTTGCTGAAACTACTATATAGCTTTTTACGGATAACCAAGCCATCACAATGAAATTTATAGGTAATTGAAGGATTTTCAACCAGAATACACTTTGTTATGGATCATGGAAACATCGGCATGAAATTTATTGGTAATCAAAGACTTAAACTGTGCATAAGAGGGAGACAGAGAAATCCACACAAACATTTAAACTTCAGTCAGTGACAACTGCTAAAATTCCAAGTAGAATCAGACATAATCATTAAACTTAGAGCCCATTTGAATAACTACAGTCCCAAATAATTAATTTCAAAATATAAAATCCCAAAAAATATTCACCCAAAATAGAAAACTATGTGAGAATAATATAGCTGCGAAGCAATAATTATGATATAAGAAATGGCAAGGAAATTTCTATCTTGAGCGTGACGACCCTGCTTAGACGCAGAATAATTCCAAACATTGTCCAACACCACTGCCTACTCTCAGAATAATTTTAAAGTAGTCCAATATGACTTATTAGACACAAACGCAAAGATCCAGATCTTGAATTATTAGAACGCATTTTTTAATTTGTTTTTTTTGAGCAACCAATTGCCTTTTTAGCCCCCATTTTAGCAAATTTACCAGCTAGTTTTCCATATATAGCAGCCATTTTGAGACAGTAAACTAAATTCTCCAGAAAAACATAAACAGGACCATCAATAACATAGTTTTATCAAAAAATAATTTACTGATTGGGCCAAAAGAATAAGCAAATTAAAAAGTTAACCTCACTCAAAAATAATTTAAAAGCAAATTAATCAAAAACATACCGCACCTTAGCTTTCGCGATGATCTTCACAGCAACAAGCTGACCCTTTAGCTCGCCTTTTCGTGCCCTAGCCGAGCACGTATGACCAAAATGCCCTCTCCCCACCTCCTTACCCAACTCATACTTGGACGTAAAATTCTTACTGTAACCAAAGTTCTTATCTAATGGCCTCTCAACCTCTGTTCCATCCTCTGGTATGGGACCTTCTTTAGGTTTTTGAGGCCCCAAGCGCTTAACCAGAGAGGCCTTTATGTGTTTAGCAGGAGAAGGAGGAGGAAACGGTCGCTTAAAAAACCTTCTTGGTGTTGACCTAGCTGGAGATGGAGCTATCCCAGCTGGTAAAGGGCTTTGAGCGTGGGGATAAGGGCTTGGCCACGGACTATTAGACGAAGAGTGAACAGGCGTGTTTTTAACCGAGGGCAAAGCTCCATTGCTGGAATTTGCAGGAGGCGGCATTTCCCGGCCATTTTTCCGGCCAACTCCTGCGTCCTCTACTGCAACGTTCTTGCCATAGCACTGGCCCATTGAAGACGCTTTACGACTTAGAGCGAGCGAGCAAGAGAGAGAGAGAGAGAGAGAGAATCAAATCAAACGGCCACGGTTGGATTGGCGATCATGGTTGGATAGGCGATCAAGCTTGGAACTCTTATTTATGACTAAGGTTTTGGAGTTACAAGCGAGAAATGGAGGTGATCCGGTGAAATTCAGGCGAGAGAGGATCTGAGAGGAAAACGTTAAAGGAAAGGAATCGAAGGATTCGTTGCAGAGGATGACAGGCTAAGGACCAAAAGACACTGAAGATTGAAACGTACATAGAGAGAGAGAGAGAACGAGGGCGAAGGAAGGGAGAGAAAGCTTAATAGAAAAGGGTAGCGGGGAAGAGAGAGAATATGCGAGGGTGTATCCGCAGACGGAAAAAAGTGAACCTGGTCGCAAATCCCTATGCACGAAAGCGGGAGTTTCGGCAGGATCTTACTCTCTCTCAAGAATTTCTCTCTCAAATAGCCTGTCATTCTCTCTCCCCAGGCAACTTAAGTATAGGACATTCTCTCTCTTCTTTCTGTCTGATAAAAGTAATGTTTCATGCGGGCTAGACCGCATTTCTAGCGGTTATGTAAGATGGATATATCTAAAAACAATAAAAATTAATGGTCCAAATATTTTTTACTAAAATTATTATTTTTAATTTTTAAAAAATAAAAAATTTATATTTATAATCTTCATGTTAGAGATTACACGTCTTTTAATAATTATTTCTGAAAAATAAATTTATTAAAAAGCCCGTATTTCCACATATATGGGCCTGGCCGCATTAAAACCGGGTCATAACTCTCCTCTAAAACACACTTACTTTTTTTTAATTGGTTGGAAGAGTTTTTATTATTATACCTGCTTCCTGGTGACACTTTTTGCTTATTTATGCCTTTACATTTTGGTCCGATTCAAAGAGAGAAAAGGTCATGTTATCACTTAAATAAGAAAAAAGTTTACAAAAGGTTGCATCCTTAAAATGTAGAAATACGGATGCACCTTCAAAATTTATCGGAGAAGATTGTTTTGATGTTGAAAAACCCTCTAGTTGATCATCTCGATATAGGGATGCATGAATATGACAAAAAAGATTTTGAGTCTCTGAAATAGTGCATCTTATAACACATTATCTAGACCGTCTATTTTCAAGATTTTCATATGTTTGTAGATCTACTTGATTTTAATTTTTTTTGGAGTTTATAATTTTATAATTAGATATGAAAATAGAGTTTCAGATAATCCTAATAATTTTTTATACCAAAATTATACGTTATGATAAAAATTGAACGTGCACCTTAATTTGATTGTTTAAGATTGAACCTTATAGAAACCACACCCCTTAAATAATATTTTAATATCACCTTTTAGTAGTAGGTGTGTGGTTTCCATAAGGTTGCAACCTTAAACAATCCAACTATGGTGCACCTTCAAAATTTATTATAATAGATACTTTTGATGTACAATGTTCTTAGGATTATCTCAAAATCTATTTTTATATATAATTATAAAATTTTAAATTCTAAAAATGGTTAAACTCAAGTAGATCTATAAACATATGAAAATCTTGAAAATGGACTGTGTAGTTGTAAGATGCAAAAATTTTAAGTCTCAAAATCTTTTTATTTTTCATAGTCATTTATATCAATGTCGAGATGATCAATCACAGAGTTGTTCAATATTAAAACAACCTTTTTCAATGGATTTTTGAGGTGCATCTGTAGTTCTACATTTTAAGGTTGCAACCTTATATAAACCTTTTCCTTAGTGGTATGGTACAGTCAATCGTCTTTCTTTGTTTTGTTGTCTACGTGGTGTTGGTTCGAGCAGTGACCGAACTTGCGCCAATAGGTAACCGGTCAAGGGTCACTCAAACCGCCCCACCTCTTCTCTTTCCTAATTTCTACCTCTATTTATTTTTTAAAAAAGTTTATATAAGTGCGAGGCTCTAAACAATCAAATTAAAGTGCACTTCAAAAACTTCACTATAAGAGGTTGTTTTGATGCCCAAATGTCCTCAAATTGATCATTTTGACCTCAAGATGCATGGATATGAAAAAAAAAAATGGATTTTAAATTTTGAAAATAATGTATCTTGTAATGCCTTTTTAGACCGTCAATTTTCAAGATTTTCAAGCTCTCAAAGATTAGCTAGATCTACACTATTTTTTAAGCTTTAAATTTTGTAATTCGATATGAAAATATATTTTAAGGCTTTTACAAAGATTTCGAGCACTAAAACCACATTCCTCGACACTATTTGAAAGTGCCCTGTACTTTAATTTTTTAGAGCCTCGGCTATACAAACCGCACCCATTTATTTTTGGATACGGTTAGCATGCAGGCCAAGCCGTCATATGTAGAAATGCAGGCCCCTTAATAAATCTATTTTTTAGATTGAAGTTTGGACTTAATTTTTAAGGATATATAATATCTAACGTGAAGATTATGAATATAATAAATAAATAAATTTTAAAAATTGTAAATAATAATTCTATTAAAAAATATTTGGATTGTTAGTTTCAATTATTTTTAGATGGACCCCATATTTGCATCCATCCTTAAGATGGATGCTTTATATTTTTGGACCACATATGTAGAAATGTAGTCTAGAAATGTGGTCAAACCTGTATGAAACAATTTTCTTTTATTTTTTAGGTAAGTTGTTTCATGCAGGCTAACCCGTATAAAATCTCAAGTGAGATTATAGAGACATGCTACAATTGCCACCGTCCAACCAAGTCGTGAGATTTTTCATATGGACACCTAAAAAACATTGCCCTTATTTTTAAAGGAAATAATTTATGGAAAGTTACTGCATTAATTTGTAGCATTAAGGTGCATCTAAAAAATCCTTCAAAAAAGGCTATTTTCAAATTGAAAAACCATCTAAACGGTTTGTTGTCCCAAAAATAGTACACCTTAATGCACATTATCAGGGTTCATTTTCAAGATTTCATGCACTTACAGATCAGCTTGATTTCTACAATTTTTAGAATTTCAAATTTTATAGTTTGAGATGAAAATAGATGCTCGGGCCATCTACAATATTTTTAACACAAAAATTACATCTTATGACGAAGTTTGGAGGTGTGCTTAACTTTGATTGTTTAAAGTTGCAACCTTATGCTAACCCACATTTTTTATAATATATCTCTTTTTTTGACAATGTTGCACAGAAATGGAACTTGAGAGGTTGTACTATGAAAACCCAGTCCCTACCTTCTTGATTCAAGTCCAATTCCTATTTTCTACAATGGATCTCTCTTTATTGAAATCTCAAGGTGAGATGACAAAACAAAAGAGTTTTACATCAATGGACTTTTAATTTAAAAAAATTTAGCTAATGTGTTTTTCATGGATTTTCAACGCAGAACTACCAAAACACATTTGATTTGATTTTTAGACCACTTCCATTTTTTTTTTCTAAAAAAATTACTTTTAACGAGAGTGATTTGGTTTTGTTTTGAAGAAATTTAAGTAAATAACAACAAAGAAAAAGACATCTGAAAGGTTTTTAGGGAAATTTACATTAATATATATCTTTTTTTTCCGAATTAAAAATCTATCCATCATATATTCAAAAAATTGGGACGCCGAGCATATATTATGTGGAATAGATTTTGAATTCTCTAAAAAGAAAAGGATATTAGCATAATTTTCTATTTTTTATGGTTAAATGGTATTTTCATTTTGCTTCATACAAAAATAATTTATGAGCTTTTTACTTGTATACAAAATTAATTTATGAGTTTGAACATGGAATTATACGAACAGAAACTCTATATACAAAAAGTCCACATTTACAAACCGCACAAAAAAAGGACACACGGCGATTTCTGCTCTCGTTCCTTTGCAATGGGTCGGTCACCAAATTGGAAACCCTAAAATATTAAGTGCCCAACAGCCGTACGGAGGTTAGCCAATATGATTTAGATTTCCTAAGTTGATCTCCACATTTCCCACTTACATGAATTATTACCTGTGGTTAAAATTTTGATTTTAGAAAAATTATTAAAAAGGAAAAGTTGGGAACAGCCTACTAGCTGATCGGTACAATATAAGCCTAACAATCTAGATTAAATTTGGACCGATCTGATCGACACGGTTTTATTTGATAATATAGTTTTAAATATTGTTTTTACAAATATGAATCACGTGAAATTTTAGGTGGTCATCGTTCTCATCAAAGCACACATAATAAAAAAATTTAAAAATAATTAAAAATTAAATTAATCAAAGTACTCTTGAAACTTTTAGAGGTATTTTGGTCAATTTATTTTTTGTAAATTAATTTTTTTATATTTTAATTAGATGATCATATTTTTAAAAAATAAACGACTCAAAATTTCAAGTGATTTGGATTTGTAAAAAAGAAAATTAAAGTTCAAATAGAAAATAAAATCATGACCATTGGATCGACCCAAATTTCTATCTAGATCCTTGGGTCGTTGTTAGTTAGTAGGTTGTTCCCAACTTTTCCTTATTAAAATATGTTTAATTTATCAACTATATAATATTTTACTATTGGACATTTTGGCGAGTATTTTGAAATGAAAAAGTTTATATAGAGTCGGGGCTCTAAACAATCAAAATAGAGCCCACCTCAAAAATTCCACTAGAAGAGGTTGTTTTGATGCTCATATATCGTCAAATTGATCATCTCAACACCACGATGCATGTATATGAGAAAAAAATAGATTTCAAGTTTTAAAAATAATGAATCTTGTAGTGTATTTTTGGACCATCAGTTTTCAAGATTTTCAAATTCTCATTGATCTACTCGATCTACACTATCTTTTAAGCTTGAAAATTTATAATTAGAGACGAAAATATATTTTAAGGATATCACAAAAATTTCCAGCATTAAAATCTCATTTCTAAACATTGTTTGAAGTTGTGCTTTACTTTTATTGTTTAGAGCCTCGGCTCCATATAAAGTGCAGCCATTTTGAAACTGAATGAAAATGAAATGAGTAGAATATTAAATAAATTAACTCGGATGTAATTTTAATAAATTTTCCTTTTGATTTTTACGTCATTATGAAACTGATAGCTCTAAGGTGATGCCAAAAATTGGACAAAATTCACGCGCTCATTATTATTAATATGGCGCCGTACGCGGTTCTTCGACTCCTTGCAAACTACAAACAAACAATTCAAGGGTCGGGGTATTTTATTGACCCATTCATCCTCCTCAGTGTTTCTCATGCCGCTTTCAATTGTTTGGGTAAAGTGAAAAAACTATCATACGGCACTACCACCTACACAAATTCGTGCAAAAAAGTCATAAGCTTCAAACGACCAATGAGAGACGATCTTCCAAGTAGATTTTCTTTCCTTTTTTTTTCCTGAGAAAAAGGATGACCTGGATCACCCCTCTAAAAAATCAGCAGATTGGTGATACGGATAAGTGATCTAGCTTAAAGAGCCAGTGAATAATAAAAAAAATAATGAATAGAAAATAGAAAAAAAAAAGTAAAGTA